CGAGTTTTATAGATCAGTTTTTGCCAGTTTATAACATTTTCATGTTGTTGGATAATATTTACTTATTAGACTGTTATATAAAAGTCAACTTTCCTGAAAATAAACAACGGGTTAAAAATTAATTAGATTTTTTGCTTCCATTAACTCTAATTTTAATGAAGAGACATTTTTTTGTTGGAATTTTTCATAAAAGATTAAAAGGCACACAAGCACAAAATTGTATATTAATTAAGTTTCGTATTAATTTCTCGTTTTCATTAAGAGCGACAACACGGTAGCAAACAGTGGGCATTTAATTGGAGCGGAAAGGACAAGGTAACGAGAAAAATCTGACAAAATCTGTAAAAAATAGCTACCGAATTAACACCAGTTAATATATCTTTCTTTTGACAGAGGATTTACGGCCAATTAATTGAACACATGCCACCATCTTGTTTTAGAACACATTGTGGATTTATTTTTGATTATTTGTACTCAGTTATTTAATCGTCGCCTGAGAACTTGTGTGACCTACAGACCACGAAGCAATCAAGCCAATGTGGACTCTAAGCGTTCAGAAGCGCTTCGAAAGTGTATTTTTAAAATCGATTTGCTTAAAATAAGTACATGGGCATCTTAATGATTTAAGATATAATGTAAAGTATTCCTAAAAATATTTGGAATCAGAGTTAATCACTTTATGAGTGACATTAGTCCCTGGTCATCCGTCAACTGCCTGCTTTTGAGCTAATTCCCATAAAAGTACCCGAGCAACCTGCTTTTTCGGGGTTAGTTTCCAGAACCGTATTTATAGATTTTGTTAAAAAGATTAAGTATTTTTAATAAACGTTAAGTAAGAATTTAACTTAACTTGTTGTTCTGAAAATTATTCAAATAAGTACTACTATTACCTCGTTAGTTTTCAGTTGACAGGCGGCTTTCGCTGTGATCAGCAATAAAAAATTGCAATAAATGTACTTAACACTGTTTCCAAGTATCTTTAGAAACACTTTACTAATATCGGGTATCTGGAAAATGGAGGATTAATTCTTCAGTACGTTATGTATGGGGCTTTCGGGAATCCGAAAAAATTGATAAAAAAATTCTTTACGATGTAGGTTACGAAAAAAAAAATGTAATCTTATAAAAGTAAAATTGGCAACATTGCACGCACCTAATACGTGAATAACTCCGGCTTACTTCCTGATTTCTTAGTAACGATGGTGACTGACTTCCACTTTTTATTTATTTTTTTTTTTTAGGGCAATAACCATAACAACCAGTAGTCATTAATATTATTATTAATAAAACAAGCTGTTATTTTTCATTAATAAATAAACAAAAAAATCATTTAATAAGACATTTATAAATTATAAACAAAAACAAAATTCCAACAAAAGAAAAATCCATTAAAGCATAACTAACTAAACACTAGAGAATTCCTGCCTTGTGCATATAAATAAGCTCCTAATGTTTCCAAATTTTGATCATTTTTGTAAAAGTTAGTCAGATAAGATAAAACTAATTTTGGCAATAACATACCCTCTAAGAATATAAAGGGTGGGTTGGCGGGGCTAGTAGCTGTCAAGATAAGACTCATTTTGGCAAATCAGATATCCCCTTAGAGAAGAGAGGGTGGGTGGGCGGGGCTAGTATTTGCTAAGAAATACTGATTTTGGTAAAAGAGCTGCCTCTAAGAAAATAGAGGGCGAGTCGGTGGGGTTAGTACCAGGTAAGAAGAAAAAATTGAAAATGACATCCTCTAAAAAGAAGAGGGTGGGTGGGCGGGGCTAGTACCTGCTAGGATAAGACTGATATTGGCAACTGACTTACTCTCTAAGAAAATGAAAGGTAGAGGGTATATCATTTGATAAAATCAGTTCTATCTTGATAAGTATTGGCCCCGCCCACCCACCCTTTATTTTCTTTGAGGGTATGCTATTTCGCAATATCAGTTTTATCTTAGTAAGTAACCAGCCCTGCCCACCCGCTCTTCATTTTCTTAGAAAGGATGTTAATTGACAATATAAGCCTTACCTTGGCAAGCACAAGCCCCGCCCACCCGCCTTTTATTTTCTTATTGGAGGGCTAGTCCTGCTAAGATAAGTCTGATTTTGGCTAATGAGATTCCTCTAAGAAACGACAGGGTGGGTGGGCGGGGCTAGTACCTGATAAGATAAGACTGATATTGGAAAGTGACATACCCGTTAAGAAAATGAAGGGTAGAGGGTATATTATTTGGCAAAATCAGTCCTAGCTTGGCAAGTATTGGCCCCGCCCACCCACCCTTTATTTTCTTCGAGGGTATGACATTTGGGAACATCAGTTTCATTTTAGCAAGTAACTAGCCCCACCCGCCCGTCCTTTATTTTCTTAGAGGGTATGTTAATTGCCAATATAAGCCTTACCTTGGCAAGAACAAGCCCCGCCCACCCGCCCTTTATTTTCTTGTTAGAGGGCTAGTCCTGCTAAGATAAGACTGATTTTGGCTAATGATATTCCTCTAAGAAAAGACAGGGTGGGTGGGCGGGGCTAGTACCTGATAAGATAAGACTAATATTGGAAAATGACATACCCGTTAAGAAAATGAAGGGTAGAGGGTGTATCATTTGGCAAAATCAGTCCTATCTTGGCAAGTGTTGGCCCCGCCCACCCACCCTATTTTCTTCGAGAGTATGCCATTTGGCAATATCAATTTGATCTTAGCAAGTACTAGTCCCGCCCAACCGCTCTTTATTTTCTTAGAGAGTAGGTCATTTGCCAAAACGTCTTATTTTGGAAAGTACTAGCCCCACGCGTCCGCCCTTCATTTTCTTAGAGGGTATGTTAATTGACAGTATAAGCCCTACCTTGGCAACACGAGCCCTACCTTGGCAACACGAGCCCCGCCCCCCCGCCCCTTTATTTTCTTATTAGAGGGCTAGTCCTGCTAAGATAAGACTGATTTTGGCCAATGAAATTCCTCTAAGAAAAGATAGGGTGGGTGGGCGGGGCTAATACCTGATAGGATAAAACTAAAATTGGCAAATGACATACCCGTTAAGAAAATGAAGGGTAGAGGGTGTATCATTTGGCAAAATCAGTCCTATCTTGGCAAGTGTTGGCCCCGCCCACCTATCCTTTATTTTCGTCGGGGGTATGCCATCTGCCAATATCAGTTTTATCCTAGCATGTAGCTCCGCCCACCTGCTCTTTATTTTCTTAAGGAGTAGGTCATTTCCCAAAATCAGTCGTATTTTGACAAGTACTAACCCCACCCGCCCGCCCTTTATTTTCTTAGAGGGTATGTTATTTGACAATATAAGCCTTACCTTGGCAAGCACTAGAACCACCCACCCGCCCTTTATTTTCTTGTTAGAGGGCTAGTCCTTCTAAGATAAGACTGATTTTGGCTAATGAGATTCTTCTAAAAAGATACAGGGTGGGTGGGCGGGACTAGTACCTGCTAAGATAAGACTGATATTGGCAAATGACATACCATCTAAGAGAATGAAGAGTAGAGGGTATATCATTCGACAAAATCAGTTCTATCTTGGCAAGTATTGGCCCCTCCCACCCACCCTTTATTTTCTTCGAGGGTATGCCATTTGGCAATATTAGTTTTATCTTAGCATGTAGCCCCGCCCACCTGCTCTTTATTTTCTTAGGGAGTAGGTCATTTGCCAAAATCATTCTTATATTGGTAAGTACTAGCCCCGCCCACCCGTTCTTTATTTTCTTAGAGAGTACATTAATTGGCAATATCAGCTTTATCTTGGCAAGCACTAGCCCCGCCCACCCGCTTTTTATTTTCTTAGAGGGCTAGTACCTGCTAAGATAGAACTGATTTTAGCTAATATGATCCCTCTAGGAAGAGAGGGTGGGTGGGCGGGGCTAGTCGTCCTAAATTGAACAGATTTTAGCAAATGACGTATCCTCTAAGAAATTTAATTAAATTATTATAAGAAAAGACACTAGAGGCTCCGAAGCACTTTCAAATTTTTTTCAAGCAGGAATACCTAGAACCTCAACATTGTTTTAAATTTTCCAAAAGAAAAAAACGGGGTTCCAAAAGTAACTCAAAAACAAGTCAGGTCCGAATTTTCCGAAAATAGAACACCAAAGTCCCCCAAAATTGTTTTAAATAATTTACAAAAAAAAACTCCATGGGCTCCCAAAATAATACACCGTGGGTACCCTAGAGTCTCCTGAATTAAAAAAAACAGAAACACTGAGGTACTTGAGACTTTTTCAAATTCATAAAAAATAAGACACTAAAAGCTCAGAAGATTTTTTTTAAGTTCATTTTCTAACATAAATGTAATAATACGTTACGAAATAAGTCCAACAAATTTCACTGAAAGCGGTCCGCATGCAATGAAGTGCTGAATTCATTTATAATTCCGCTGAGAGTGCAATAAAAGTACTTAATTCTATTTCCAAATATCTTTGGAAACACTGTACCGATATATGTGTAAATAAATCATTATTATTTTAGGATAAAGGGTTAATTGCGCACTGGTTTACCGGTATAATATTACATACAAATAATTACATAACAATTGTTGGACAATTGCGGTCCAAACCGGTTCCTTGGCTTAAAGATCAAATCTCTTAGAGTCGACATTAGCTTGAGCGCGCTCTGGTTTGTAGATCAAACAAGTTCTCAGACGATGTAATACTAAAAATATATATTTATAAAAATGAGAGGAAGAAATTTTCTTACATTTAAAAAAGTATATGTGCTTTAACTAAGTTTTAGAATACTCTGTTGCAGTAGCTTGAAAAATCCCACATTTACTTCCACCTTAGAAAAAATATTGTTTTTCCAGGAGAATAAAATTTACCAGCCCGATTTTTCTCTCGCCTCCCATGTGGTGCACTTCGCCGCCCCCACCCTCCCCTTAGGCACTATAATTCACTATATCCATCAATAAAAAATTTCCGATTGATATGGTCGAGACGTCCCAATCTCCGATATGTTGTCGGGCGCACATTTACACCGCCACCACGCACCACCGCCGCCCTTTTTTGAGTAACCTTCAAATCCCCGTCCCGTTCGGCAGAGTCTGTGTATCTTTCTTGATCTCGTCAATCGTCGAGACCTCCACTTTCCTCTCCGTCAAGTCCAGCGGAAACTTAAAACTGATCTCGCCCTTGGCGAAAATCGCTATCGGATGGTCCAAACTATTCTCCTGCTGCATCTCCGCCATCCTCTTCTGCTCCTGCATGGAATTCGTTGCGCGTCGTCGCAAGTACGAAACTACGAAGATTATGCAAACTATGACGAACACGAGCAAACTCGCTATTCCCACCACCAGAATCACTTTGTGATCCAACGACCCTTCGTCTCCCGGATTTTTACAAACCCCCAAGTCCTCCAATCGCAAACTCGACAACACTCTCCCTTTAAGTTTCTTCGGCGAGGCACACGTGATGTTCGTGAACGTTTCCGAGCGATTCGAGCGCAGCACAGCCGCTCCCAAGTGGCACAAGCGACAGCTCCACGAATTCCCGCCCCAATCCACAGCCCGTAAACTTTGCAGTTTGACCACCGCCGCCTCCGAGAGCCCCTCCAGCTTGTTGCCGCTCACGTCCAGCTCAGCCAGCTGCTTGGGCAGCGCCGCCGCCTCCAGCTCCGTGAGGTTGTTGGCCGACACGTTGAGCCTCCGCACCCTGTCCGGCACCAGCCCCTTCGCCAAATGCATCAACTTCATGCTCGCCAGCTCCAGGTCCCGCACGTTGTGCACAGTGTTGAGGATGTCCTTTATCACGAGCGCGCCGAAGCGGTTGCCGCTGATCACGAGCCTTTGGAGGGTGTCGGCGACGTGCTGGAAGGCCACCATCTCGATCTTGTCGAGCTTGTTGTAGCCGATGTCGAGGTCCACGAGGCTGGAGAGGTTGAGGAACGCGGTGTTGGTGATCTTGGCGAGGCGGTTGCGGGCCAGGCAGAGGTACTTGAGCTCGTGCTGGTGGATGAAGGTCTTCTCGAGGACGACAGGCAGCATGTTGCCGTCGAGGCGCAGGCTGTGGAGGTGGTGCAGGTCGTGGAACTCGTCGGACGAGATGAACTGTATCCGGTTGTCGCCGAGGTCGACGTGGGCGAGATAAGGCAGCAAGTGGTAGATTTGGGTGTTGATGTAGCGGAGGCCGCAGGCGCGGCATTCCAGGACGCGGAGTTCCTGGAACAAAGAGGGAGGAATTAGTAGTCATCCTCAAGAAGTTGGTGTTGGTTTGAGTAAAAGAAGAATGATTGGAAGTTGAAAATGGCTGCTTTCAACAAGATGGAGCAACAGCACACAAATTTGAAAGAACGTCGACAAACAATAAATAAAAAAACACAATTGCTTCAATGGACAAACTTAATTCTAATTCAAGTTTGAGTGATTTCGTTTACATCCGTTTTAGTGACAAAAGACGATCAACAAGTAAATAAAATTTTTCCGTCAAAGACTTCCGCGGATACAGAAAATACATCCACGAGTAATCCTAGAACGTATATATACACCTATCAAAAGATTAAATATTCCACAGGGAGATTAAAACACTTGTTTAACTTAGGCACTTTGAACATTAATCCTCTATTTCTAATTCTCAGTTTACCGCTTTTAGATGAGAGTTCATACGCTATACACAGAAACACACTTTGATGTCGAATAAAACGCCAAGATTCACTTCTAAAACTGAATAACTCTTTTTCTCTGTCTACAGATTTTTAATTACCAAAAATTAAGTGAATTTGTCAAAAAAGGAAAATATGTAAATCCAGTTTTTTTAGAGGCCTTAGGTGGTAGAAAAATAAGGATTTTAGAATTAAGCTCTGTCCCTCGGCTTACGACGAACATAAAAAAATCATTAGAATTGAGATAGGGTGGGTGGGCGGGGCTTGCATTTTGTCTTCTTTTTCTTAATATACATAGCCATCTTTTTACAACACAAAACTTAAAACATGATTAAAATGGTATATTTTTGCAAAGAAATATGGATTTTGCAATTATGCTTATACAAATTTGATATATTTTTTTTATTAGCCAAGATGGATGCCAATAGTAGTAGTCAGTCCGGTACGTCTGCACAAATCTGCAGAAAATGTAAATCAAAAGTTGTCAGTGCATTAAAATGTATATCGTGTGATAATGTGTACCACCTTAGTTGTGCCAAGGGTGTATCTTATGTAAAAATTTTGGACAGTAATAAGTCTTTAGTTTGCTGTGATAAAGTGAAAATGCCTCCTGTTGTGTGCGAAGATTCTGAGTTTTTTGAAGCAATGGAACAAATGAGTGGACCTGAGAAAAAGGTTGATATTGCTGTTTTCAATTATATTATTAAACAAAAAGACGAAATTATAAAGGAGCTAAGGGATCGTGTAAAAACGCAAAGTGAGATGATAGACATTTTGATAAAAAGTTCGAACAACTTGGGAGGCTCCACTGATTGTAGTTTATCATCAATGGACGCTTTTTCGAGTAAGATTATGAATAAAAACGTGAGTGGTGTGGAAGCAAGAAAAGTGGTAAACAAAAGTGAACCTGAAATACGGAACACTATTATTTATCCTAATACGAATTCATGTAATGAAGTTGATCTAAATAATTCTTCAGACAATGGTAAAAATCCTTCTGAGAAGGAGGTAACAGGTGATACTTTAAAACGTCGGCCGAAAGTAAGTAAGTTAATTATTGGCTCAGCAGATATAGCTTCTAGTTCAGGTTCGTCAGATTTGTCATCGAGTGATCATGATTTCGTAGCTGTCACCAGAAAAAAAAGCAGTCACATACATATTACAAGAGTAAACCCTAATGTTGATGTGAACAAGATTACTGATTATATCAAATTTAAGTTAAAATCCCATGAAGAAGTGCTGAAAAATAAACGTCTTCCTGACTTTAAGCTTATTAAATTGGACTCTAAATTTCCTGAGTTATATAGTTCTTTCAAACTTACTATCGATTTTGTATATCAAAATGATATTCTGGCTGCATCTTTTTGGCCCAAGGGTGTAGCGGTAAGGAAGTTTTTTCAATCGAAATCCATACATTTACAGCATAACACATAATTACAGAGCGTCAGAATTTTGTTCTACTCTTTTTTATAATGAGCTATCCTTACTGTTCTATTTTTTTTTTTTTCTTGATGTTTAGATATATTTTGCAGGCATACGTTGTATTTAATTATTTATTTGTAAGATAGACTACTATTTACTTTTGTTTTGTATTCTGTAATTGGAGATTAATCTCTGTTGAGTACAATAAATTATTATTATTATTATTATTATTCTAAGAAACCTAAAATACGTTTAAAATGATAAATGTTTGTAAGGAAATATGGATTTTGTAGTTAGGCTTCGCCCCTAGGTCTGGCAACAAATGAAAACTTCATTACTGTTTAGATCAGGGAAGGTATGGGTGGGGCTTAATCTTTGGCTTTAATTTTTTCTTAATATACGTAGTATTCTTTGAATAACACGATAGTCAAAAATATGTCTTACATGGTAATTTCTTTTAGAGAAATAATAAGGACTTTGCAATTAAATTCCGCTCCTTTGGCTCTCGACGAATAAAAAAAATCATCACAATTGGGGTAGGGTGGGTGGGCGGGGCTAATATTTTGCCTTTTTTCTTAATAATGTAGTCGCCTTTTCAGAACAAGCAACTTAAAACATGTTTAAAATGGGAAATTCTTCTAGACAAATCTGGATCTTGGAATTAAGCTCCACCCCTTGATCTGACGATGAATGATAAATTCATCACATTATTTTTGTTAATATACATAGTATTCTTTGAATAACACGATACTCAAAAACATGTTTTTAATTTCTCATAGAGAAATACGGATTTTGCTGTTAAACTCCGCTCGATTGGCTCACGACGAATACAAAAAGTCATCACAATTGAGATAGGGCGGGCGGGCGGGGCTATATTTTGCCTTTTTTTTCTTAATATGTGTAGATTTATTTCGGCAACAAGAAAGTTAAAACATATTTAAACTGGCAAATTTTAAGACTTAACAATATTAAACTTTTCTGACTCATCTAGTATTTGGCGTCTAATTCTCCAAAAATTCATTAATGTTTTTGAGGAACCATATTTTTAGTTACTACCAAATATGTATATGCAGGTTGTTCCAACGATCAGGTGTTCATAATTCTTACATTCAAATCCAACACAAAAATTTTCATCAATAATAATATATATATTTTTATTTTGTCTTGTATTTATTTAAGTAACCTGTCTGCTAATAATACCTGAAGATGATGATTTTCAAATTTCTGCTGTAGTAGGCCATGACACTTACATTAGTCGTTTGAATTTAACTGCTGACGTACTTGTTAGCCAACTAGATCAGAAATTTAAAAAAATCACACGGTATTAAAATATTATTAAAATAAACCACAACAAATCTAGTTTTAACGAATGATATCAGATACTGGATGTCTCATTTGAAAATCGTCAGAAAACCAACAATGTTTAAATATGCCGGAATTGTGAAATTTTAAATACATATACAGGGTGACGAAAAAATGACGACGTTATTGAGAAGGTTGTAAAATACAATCCACAGCGTCATTTTTTACTGTTGACAGATGCCATTTTTGACAATTTTCCAATTAAATCCACGTTAAAATTTATTAGAATTAAGAGATTAATTCGTCAAATTTGAAGTTCAATATTTTCAAAAATTTGGTCCAGGGGTTCTTTTAACCATTTTTTTCCTATTCTTAACTACGTACCATCGAACTTATATGACATTTTTTCATCATCATGTATAATTGAAAATTAAAAAAACTCTTGATCAAGAAATTTTGTGTCTGTTATTTTTTCGTTTTCATTCAAAGAATCTAAATATAAAAAAATATATGGGCTGTTAGATAAAAAAACTATTTTTTTATTGCACTAATTTATTGATTTAAATTGAATTATTTCAAAATCAAAATATGCATTTTCTTTTTCAGTACAGCACGGTGAATAAGTAATATTTTGCCATCAAGCGGTTGAGACCTGTTTAAATATGGTCTGAACTGGGAAAGTTTTATTATAATGATCTTTTCGAAAATAAATGCAATTTTTAAACTTGTTGTTTACAAAAAATATCGCATTTGATCTCTTTCGTTTTTTTTCCGCATAAAGAATATAAATTAATAAAAATATACAGGATGTTGGACAAAAAATGCTCTTTTTATGTATTGCTTTTCAATGGAATGACCTATTTGTTTAAAAAAAATTTTTAAAATCGAAAATCTGAAAAATCGAAAAATTGAAGAACTTAAGAACTGGAAAATCGAAACAGTCGGAAGTTAAGAAATGGGAAAATCAAAATATCGATTAATTGAAAAATCGAAAAATTGAGAATTTAAAAGTCAAAATTGAAATATTGAAAAATCGAAATATTTAAAAATCTTGAAATTGAATACGAAAAAAATTAAAAAACTTAAAACTTGGAAAATTGAGAAATCGAAAAATTCAAACATTGAGAAATTGTAAAATCGAAAGATTGAATAATTAGTAATCTGAAAAATCCCAAAACTGAAATTTCGAAAACTTGAAAAATTAATGAAAAACTGAAAAAAATTGGGCAGTCAAAAAATGAAAACAGTGAAGGCGAAATATCGAAACCTTAAAAAATTGAAAAATCAAGAACCTGAAAAATCGAAAAATTGAAAAATTGAAAAACTGAAACAGAGAAACCAAACTTCAAAAGATCGAGAAAACGATAAGTATAGAAGTTAAAACGTCGAAAAATTGGAAAGTCAAAAAGTGAAGAATTGAAAATTTTAAAGCAGAAAAATCGAAAAGTTTAATAATCAAAAATTTGGAAAATCGGAAATTTGAAAAATCGAAAAATCTAAAACCGAGAAGTCGAAAAATCGAGATAGCAAAAACCTGAAAAATATAAAATTTTAAAATTCGACAAATTGAAAAATAAATAAGTGAAAAATGGAGACATCGAAAAATCAAAAAATCAAAAACCATAAAAATCCACAAATGGAAGAATCGAACAATTGAAAAATCCCAAAACAGTTGTATTCAAACGTTGGAAAATCGAAGAAAACTTGAAGAATCGAAAAACTGAAAAATGCTGTAATTGCAACATCGGAAAATTAAGGAGAAATCGAAAAATTGCAAAATCGAGCAGTCGAAAAGCCGAAACATTGACTCAAAGAATCAAAAATTTTAAAAATCGAAAAAGTGAATAATAGAATAAACTGAAACATATAAAATTTCGAAATTAGAAAAATTGAAAAATAAATATGTAAAATAGAAAAGTCCAAACATCAGAAAATCCCAAAACTGAAATATCGAAGAAATGAATGAAAAATCGAGAAATCGAAAAATCTGAAATTTTAAAAATGGAATTAAAATATCAATAAGCTGAAAAATCTGAAATTTAAAAATCGAAAAGTAAAAATTCGACACATCGAAAAATCCGGAACTTAAAAATCGAAAAGTCGAAGAATCAAAATATTGAAAAACCCAAAACTGAAAAATGTAAGAAAAACTGAAGAATGGAGAAACTGATAAATCCGAAAACTGAAATATCCAAAAACTGAGAAATTAGAAACCTGAAAAATTGAGAAATCGAAAAATGAAAAAAGTGAAGTGGAAATTGAAGTTGAAAAATCAAAAACCTGAAAAATTGAAAACTTGAACAACTGAAGAACTGGAAAATCGAAACAGTTGGAGGTCGAGAAATAGAAAATCAAAACATCGAATAATTGAAAAGTCGAAAAATTGAGAATTTAAAAGTCAAAAATTGAAAAACTGAAAAATCGAAATATTTAAAAATCGTGAAATTGAAGAGGAGAAAAATTAAAAAACGTATAACTGGAACATTGGATAATTGAGAAATCGAAAAATTGAAACATTGAGAAATTGTAAAATCGAAAGATTGAATAATTAGTTATCTGAAAAATTCCAAAACTGAAATTTCGAAAACTTGAAAAATAAATGAAAAACTGAAACATAGCGAAACGAAACATCAAAAGATCGCGAAACTACAGGCCAAGAAATCGAAAAATCGAAACATTGGAAAATTGAATATCCCAAAATCGAAAAGTTAAAAACTGAGAAATTGAAAATTTTTAAAACAGAAAAATCGAAAAATCTAATACCTAATCAAAAATTTAAAAAATCGAAAATGTGAATAATAGAATAAACTAAAAAATATAAAATTTCGAAATTAGAAAAATTGAAAAATAAATATATAAAAAAGAAAAGTCCAAACATCAGAAAATCCCAAAACTGAAATATCGAAGAAATGAATGAAAAATCGAGAAATCGAAAAATCTAAAATTTTAAAAATGGAATTAAAATATCAAAAAAACTGAAAAATCTGAATTTTAAAAATCGAAAAGTAAAAATTCGACCCATCGAAAAATCCAGAAGTCAAAAGTCTAAGAATTGAAATATTGAAAAACCCAAAACTGAAAAATGTAAGAAAAACTAAAAAATGGAGAAACTGAAAAATCCGAAAACTGAAATATCCAAAAACTCAGAAATTAAAAACTTGAAAAATTGAGAAATCGAAAAATGAAAAAAGTGAAGTGGAAATTAAAAAATTGAAAAATCAAAAACCTGAAAAATTGAAAACTTGAAGAACTGAAGAACTGGAAAATCGAAACAGTTGGAAGTTGAAAAATTGAGAATTTAAAAGTCAAAAATTGCAAAAATTGAAAAATCGAAATATTTAAAAATCGTGAAATTTTCACCTTACCTATTTTACATGCAGGATACAGTTATCACTTTC